AGTCACACAGACCATAAAGCAGGGGATGCTTTAGGGCGGGGCTACACGGTGATTGACAGGTCTCTACCAGAGACGTATACCGACGTCTCTACGTCCAGATATGGTCACTTCTGTTCATCGGTTGCCAAAAAAGCAACAGCCTAATCCAAGATGGCGGCGCCGAACTCGAGGCTTCAAAACACCAGTCCACAAACCAATGAGTGACGTCACGATGACTACGTCCACTTCTTACATACAGTCTGTGGTTATATGACTATTTTATATGTTGTAGTATTTCAAAGATAGAAATGTAAACATGGTAACATTTGAACCCTTGTGTAGATTAGATGGTGTAAATCAGTATAACATATGATATCAATCATTCAATATAAGAAAATATCCGTATACACATGTTATGTCTCTCTTCTTACCTCACAGTTGTGTTTCTGTGTAAATCTAAAAACACACATCTCTGTCTGTGTTTCTATAAATGTGACTTCTCAGTCTGAAGTCTGAACGGTGAGATTTCCTTCTTACAGGAAGCTCTCAATCTTTTTCCAGATCTCCTTTTTCTCTGATCTTCCACTCATCTGTACATTTCAAATCTGTTCTAAATTTACTTTTTCCTCGACTGTCCGTCTTCTGGCATCCAGAGATTTAAAGAAAAGAAAGCAGGAGAATGTGACTGACTGTATGTAGAGAAGAACAAAAATTTCACAGTTGGCCGGCGGTTTGATTTTCTTTTTTAGTATCAAAGGTTTTGTCTGCAAATAAAAAGATATCTGACTATTGGAGAGAAACATCTTTTATTATTGCGTGTTAAATCTGTGTCATGTGACAACATGGAAGGCAGCCGGATGACGAGAGGAAACCAGAACAAGGTTTATGATTCACATTCTTTCTATTGCAGAATAAATCTTGACCTGAAACACGTTTATTGTTCTTTACACAAACTGTCGTCGTCATGATTCTGACATCTTGTCTTTAACCAGCATTGTGCTGTATTGTGTTTTATTGTTAATAAATTAACTTTTCCACCAGACCAACATAATGTGATTTGAATTCACTTAATTACACTAAAAGGCCACTTTAATGCAGAATCTTTATAACCATGAAAAGCAGTACGTAAAACAAAAGTTGATGTTGCTCCACTTATTTATGTCAGTAGAGTTGGAAGTACAAAGTGCAGTTTAGTTGGTCTTACTCAATAAAGTTGTGTAACGGAAGTCCAACTGTTAAGTTACATTTACACAAGTGAGTTAAGTTATAATAATGAAATATCTTTATGTTGAGTAAAGCAAAATAAACTGCATTTTGTTGAATAGAAGTCAGTTTGACACTGACCTATTAACTAAATCCAAGTCCGTCTATGTTGTTTCTTCCATGTTGTTTATACTTTGAGTTTCAGGATTTTATCTAGTTTCTTCTTTTTTGTTTCAGTGTTTAAATAGTGTTTATTTCAGTGTAGATCATTGACTAAATGTCTTGTATTCGTGGTAATAGTGTTCCATTTTAATTCAAACCAGATTTAATTTAGTTTAGAGGGAATTGTTAAAATTGTATTTATGGGTGATTACATTTTTTATTTATTCTCATATTTTCTACAGAAGTTCTTCGTCACTGTCAGTGTTTTGTTTCATTTTGTAAAAAGGAATACGTGTTGTCAAATCTTTGATAAAGAGGTAAAAAATGTAACTTTATAGTTTACATGTTGCACTAGCTTGTCATTTGCAAGTGTCGTTATCATTTCAAGAGTTGATTATAAGAATAAATGTATTTGCACCTGTTTCCCTAACATCAGAGCATCACAATGGAATCAATCGTCGACAGTTTTGTAAATGATAACTATTGATTAACTATTGATGAATCGATTTTCTGGGTCATCACGCTTCAGAGAAGTACACAACTTGCCTTCAGAAATCTCTTCTTCTGTGTCTGTAGAAACATTGGCCACATCACCAGACTTGACATCTGTATCATGACTTTATCAATCCTAAAATAGTTTCAAGATGTTCCTTGAAGGAGACGGAGAAAAAAGAAAAGCCGCTGGCTGAAGGTATGCGAAAGCCCTTTGTGATTTAGTGCTTCAATATACAGGCGCACTGTAACACCTTGGAGAAGAGAGTCCACGTCTGCTGTCAGTAACGATTTACTGTGAAGATGAGTCGAGTCGAGGAATCTGCAGCAAAAGAGAGGAATAAACACAAGAGGGCAACAGTTTACCAGGAATGTCTGATGTGGTCGAAGCCTAAAAGCAAAGCAAAGGCCAATAAATTTACGTTTCTTTTTTAGTTCCCCAGAGAGCGATTCTTGAGTCCGTTAAAATGTCTGAAAAGTGTTGGAAGGGAAAGATCAATGGCTGAGACAGGCGGGGGATTATGGGTAAACCCTCCAGTCGGCGTGCTGTCACTCTAAAATGGCCTCAAAGCTGCAGATTAGAGCACCGGATCTCTCTCGTCTCTTGTCACAGGATCTCGTTAAAGACACCCGGTCCTGTGCCTCCAATTGTTCCAGTTTCATGTTTTTGTTTTTCTCATCTCTCTCTGCTGTAAATCAATCAATGTGGTCGTTTTGGTTTCCAATGAAAGTCGCCACGATGAAAGACAGAGAGTTAACGTTGCTCACGGCCTCGGCCATTCTTTTCCACTTAAGGAGCTGATGGATAGTTTACAGTATAAGAACAGACCTGCTGTGCATTATGTCATTCTACTGCCCCTCTTTCACAAATACATCTCCCCATTTAACAGGCACTGAGGTAAATCTGCGGTGAAGACGGGCTGTGGTTTGGGGGGGACATGCTGCTGGAACAAGAGCGAACAAATAACTTGAATAATTATTGGAAACAACGTCCAGATAGACAGAGCGGAACCAAATTATGAAATCATGCGCTTCTCTCCGGTTGCCTGCTCATTATTTGAAGTCATGCTTTGGAAAAGAACAGGTGTTTCCAATACTAGGGTCTCTGTCTCCACGGACATGCCCCCCCCCCCCCCCCCCCCTTTTCGTTTTTCTGATGATGGCTCAGATATGATATTTCATGGCTGGAGCCGTACGCATGATAGGAAGTGATCGGGGGGAGCACGAGCTCAGAAGACATGCGTGTAATGGACGCTGATTGGCCCCCCGGTTAAATCCCTGGAGGAGCAATGATCCTAAATGCTGCATGTTCCCCCCCCCCCCCTCTCTCTCTCGGAGGTTCACATGATTACAAAGGGGATTTCTCTGTCTCTGTAAACAGGTGCAGTATTTATGTGCATCGAGCACAGCAGCAGTGCAGCTGAGTGCAGTTGGCACAGAGAGCTTTAGTCCTCGTTCTCGTCATTAAACAGAACCAGCAGGGAGAGAATTTGTCCTTTCTTTTTTTTTAGGGTCTTTTTCTCCCACTTTGGTTTATGATCGATGCATTTCATCAGCGTTTGAAGCTGAAGTCTGTGATGTGGTGCAGAGCAGATGTTTTGTGAGCTCCCTCGCAGTGATTAATAATCATGTCATTCATTGTTATTGTTGCATAAAGGCTGTGACCGCCTGCTGAGTCGACTCCCACAGTTAGCCTTCTTTTAAAAACACAATTCATCAAAAGTTAATCCGTAAATATCTGCGTAATACAGACCATCCAGCGTGTTGAATTGTCATTACTTTGTTGATTGCGGTTGTAATTCGTCTTGCTTTTGTGCTTCAAATTATTGTTTGATGAGCAACTGATTCTAGAGAAAACACAGCATGCTCCTAATGCTTTGCAGCACAACCGTCTCACCTACTGCAACGATGAGAAGACAATAAATAACTCAAAACCATGTTCATGATTTAAAACGTTTATTGAGCCTTTTTACGTGCTTGGCACCTGTATTTACATTTTTTCAAAATGCCTCAAAAAAAGAATTACTTTGCCATTTATTTTTTTTCACACATTTTCTTTATAACAGCTTGACCTGTAAAATATTGTTATAATGCTCAGCACTTAAATACACATCTCTACAACACACCAAAACATACTTTAATTACTCTGTTTTTGCTATTGCTTCTTTTTTATAACTTTTCACACGACAACAGTTTTAAGCTTGTTATTGATTGCATTTCGCCATCTTTTATATATATGCTAAAAAAAACAACAACGTAATCCACTCAAAAATAGTGAAGCCATTCCAGTCTATGAGGATGACTGGTTGGTGAAGTTCTGTGGTGGTGGTGGAGGGCTGAACGAGTTTTCAGTTCCTCGGCCCCCCCCCCCGACCTGCAGCTCTTTGACGTGTGGAGTCCTTCATGATTGCATTTTTAAAAACCACACAAGTGCTGCGTGAAGATAAAAACCTCTGGATCGCAGTGAGAACTCTTCGGCTCCACGACATCATGACTGCTCGGCCTCCGAGTCCCCGAAAAACAAAAGAATTAGAGAATGAGTCACTTGAAAAAGAAGTGTTGCTACTATTGCACCATAACAGCTGATAATCCCTTCTGAGCCGGAGCATGTTGTTGAGTTTGTTGTTGATGTCCCTGTAATCTTCTCTTCATTAATACAAAGTTAATTAAATAATAGTTTGGACTCCCTCTATAATGCTTTGTATGCGATGGAGTGTCTTTTAAAAAAAACAAAAAACACATGATGTCCTTTTCTGAAAGGTTTGTTTAACGCTTCATGTAAAAAAACACCGGTTCCACATCAAACACCGAACCGGGTTCATAGGTTTGCATTTTTCAGCCGAAAGACTTTTTAGGCCCGATGCCAAGCGTCTACACCATGTGCATGGACATCTGAGAGGAGGAGCCGTATTGGCGGCCATCGCAGGAGCCGCCGCCCTGCTGGCCGCTGGCGTTGCCGATCATGTGCATAGTGTCCATGCTTCCGTTGGACAGGTACTGGCGCTCGGCGAAGGCCCCGGCGGGAGACGAGGAGCAGAGCAGGCCTCCCTGGGGCTTCTCGGGGCTGGCGGCCAGGCGGGGGGAGGTGGGGAAGTTGTATCCATACAGGTTGTAAGGGTTGTGCAGGGAGAACGCGTTGTAGGAGCCCTGCTGTACGTGGTGGTGGCCCCCGCCGAACATGTGGGCGGAGGAAGGGGAGGATCCGGACGAGGAGGACGAGCCGGAGCCGGAGCCGCCCCCGGCCTGCATCACGTACTGAAGCTGCGAGGCCGGGAAGGAGCCCAGTTGGCCCCCGTAGGCATCCATCTTGGCTCCGGGGCCACCGCCGCCGCCCGCGTGAGCGCCGCCCTGCATGCCGGCGGCGATCAAGGAGGAAGTCCTCTGCGGCAGGAAGGATTCAGAGGGCTGAGCGGAGGCCACGCCGCCCCCCGCGGCCTGGAGGCGTCCGTAGGAACTGTCGGCCAGGCCGCCGTAGCCCTGCAGGGCCGCCATGTTGCTGCGGGCGCAGGCCGGGTACTCGGACAGGCCCAGGTTGCAGAGCTGGCTTTCCCTGCAGCCCACATTGAAGGTGTTGGGGGCAAGGTGGAAGGTGGGAGGGGAGCAGGAGGGGGACAGGAGGTGGGCCGCACCAGAAGGGGAGGGGGTTCCTGTGCTGGAGGTGGTGGGAGAAGTGCCTGTGCTTCCACCTGGAAAACACACAGAGGAAGACATTGTGAAATACAGACGCTATATTTAACAGAAGAGCACGACATTATAAAGATCCAGATCTAGTTGAGTTAAGAAAAACACATAATACTCAAAGACTTTCATAAAAAATCAAGAGGGGAGACTAGTGGACGAGACACAAAGAAGCCCAGTAACGGCACTTCTGTAGTTATGTTGTTCTCTAAACCTAACTGAGTTGTTTCTGTGATCAGATCGGCAGTAACCGACACGTGTTGCTGGACTTTCGTAGGAAATCTCACCAAAAATGACGAGTAACTTTTCGTAAGACATCGTACGAACTGCTGTATAAAGATCTGTAAAATACGTAAAGTTAAAACAGACAGAAATTGCCAAATATTGGTTTCTATTCATGAAAAATATCAAATGAAAGATGTATAATCCATTTAGATGTAACAAGCAGAAATGGTAAAATATTGTTTTCTGATCCATGAGGTTGGGACATCTAGTATTAAACCAGGAGGTATAATGTGCATATAGTACATAAGGATAAGGATGTTTATTGTCATCGTAACAACACACAACGAAATTAAATTGGCGACTCATCAGTCAGTACAGCAGCAAGCATATGTTTGTATGTCTATATACACAGCACTCTACTTGTAAACCTCTCAGTACTTCATTCAGCACTTTAAAGCTGTAGTTCCCAGGAGGCGGAGCCTCTACCACCAGGATGTGCACAGGTGTTCTGCATCCTGATGAAGGTCCTCTAGACCGAAAGCTAAAAATAAAGAGCAGTGGGGGGGGGGGGGGGGGGGGGGGGGGGGTATCTATTCTATCAGTTTGAGCTTTGTTGATACTTCCAGCAACTTGTTAAGATAAAGCCGGGTGAAGCTATGGTTGTCCTGCAATGTTCATACAGTACAATATATTGAAGCGATATTATAGTACATCAACACAGAAAATCACCATTTAAAAACGGGCCACAGTTGGTCCGCAGGCCGTAGTTTGGCTACCAGGTTTACCAGGTTTAGACTGAACTGATTCAACAGTCCGGCCCTTCAGAGTGAAATGATAGCTGTGGGATATCGATCGCATATTCCTCCATTAATGAGAATCTGGCCGGGTTTCATCCGGCTGTTGGAGAAATTCAGCCTGAACCGTCAAACGAGGAGCAGGAGGCAGAACTAAACAATCCAGGACTCGCTTGGCTGGGGTTCTGATTTTGCACCATATGCATTCGATAATATCGCTGCAGTGCAGAAGATGGAGGGAGGGGGGGAATAAAGAAAAGGGGGGGGGGGAGAGAGAAAGAGAGAGCAAGGTAGACTTCTAACAGGAGAGAGAAGAATAGTTTGGTGATGTCATGTTTTCCTCGGGTGAGAAGGGCTCGAGGTGCTTCAGTGCCGGAGGGGAATAGTTGATTATATGAAGGGAAAAGGGTGTCTGGTGCCATAAGGGCACACACACACACACACACACGTGTATATATATACACACACACACACACACACATGGTGACGCCGAGGACTTTGATTGAACCCAAATCACTTTGAAAGCAGTTTAATGATAACAAACAGACAGAAATACGGAGCGCCACGTCACGCTGACCCTCCAGAGGTGACCGGCGGATGAAACGGAGCGGCGCGGCCCTGACGAAGACCTCGTCCCGGGGCCCTGGAGCCGAGACCAGAAAGGGGAGGTATAGACCCCCGAGCTGACGCCAGTCTCGTGTCGCGAGGAGGCCGTCCAAAAAGCAACAGGGTTTTAAGTTTAAGAGTTCAGCAGACGCCTAACCGACCTGCCAGAGGAACAGCGCGTGTTGGAGCTCAAGCAAAGGACAACCGTCGCTGATGGAGTGTGTGCTGATGTATGCAGAGGGGAGAGTTCAGGTCGTGTTAATCAACACGGAGCATCAGCAGCAAACTGTTCTGCATTTGTGCTAAGTTGACACATGGAAGTGAGCTGTTATAGAAGAGACAACAGTGAGTATTATGGGATACCACGGTGGTTCTCAAAGGGGTCGCAGAGGATTCAGATCTCATGTAAAATGAAGAATGGTTTCAGTTCTCCGTTGTCCTGAACACAACAACGCAACATTTTTGATATGAAGACTTTACATTTTGTTACGGAGCTGTGATTTTAGGCAATGTGCAACATTATGAATGTATATGAGAGCCCTTTAGAAGAAGGCTGATGGAAACATCCACATCCGAATGTAAATCATCATTATATTCCACCAATATTGTTCTTCAGCAATGAACTGAACACATTCTGCAAAGAAGGACTATCAGATATCAAGGTATTCACACACCTTGCTGTTTCTGCATGTTGGTGAAGTCTTCGAACGTGAGGGTCCTCACAGGAGGTCTCCAGAAAGCATAGGTCTCCATGATGGCCTCCAGGCCGGTCCTGACCGAGACACAGACAGAGAGGGAGACACTTCAGGACAGAGACAGGCCGGGAACACGACACAATAAGAGACAGTGTTGTTGGGTTTGTTCAGATTATCCTCTAATTGGATTAAAATCTTATTTATTTATTATCCTTCTGTTTTATCTTCTCTATTTAATCTTTATTAACATGAAAACTGCAACATTAAATAATAAATTTAAGAACCGTGATGTGTTCTTATTCCTAGTCTCTTTTTTTTGGCTTGTACATTTTTATTTCATCGTTGCCGATAAAATAAAACATTTTAATCTCTTTATTTTTAGGATTTTTCTTTTCCCCTTTGGAGTATTTATTTTTTATTTATTTTCATATTTGTGAATGCAAATTAATGTGGATTTGGGATTTATTTTTTGCGTAAATGGAAATGAGCTTTGACACAACGATGTGCTGAACATAGCATACTTACCTCAATAGAACAATATATTTAAGGTAAAAACAATAACATTGTTTATGCAGTGCTGTAGATGAAGTCATTTTTATTATGTATTTCCTATTCAACTGTAACACAATTTACATTAACAATATATTTGACATAATAAACGCTTCTTTTAACTTTATTATTGTAAAACAAAAGCCCAATGCATGTCTGTCTGTGTTGGTGGAGGTAAAAGAGAGAATATTACTGAATAAGAGCAAATAAATATAGAATCCATCAGCTGACGAGAGAGAGGAAGTGATGTTATGTGTGAATGAGAGAGAGGGGGGGAGGAGTCCTGCTCTAAAGGAAACTGGATCCATTAAAACAAGGAGCATGTATTTTACTGAGCACATAAATGTGGGTGACGTTTCATCCTGAATCTGTACACGGTTCTCCTTCCTGCATGATTTACTCCCCCCCCCGTCACCGCTCACCGTGTTATTTTAGGGCCACTAACTCCTCAGCCTCGTTAGTGCGGCGCGTTAACCGTCCGGGGCCCTCGCCATCACTGCACTCATTCATACCGACCGAAACCCAACAAATGAGCTGTATCGCTCTGCTGCAGGCCGTAAAGTCTGACACACCTCAGCTGGGGGGACTTTTATATTAAGACGCTATTAAGAAAGTCAGAGCAAGGAAAACTTCATTTTGAGAATTAGCAGTGCAGGTCTGCCCCGTCTATTAATGCTGAATTTCCCCTCAGTGTGGAATTAGTTGGTAACGTTCCACAGGAAACACTGCGGTCACTCTAAAGCTAAAATACAAAGAAAAGCAGCTTTTTCTGATGACTGTCCACATCGCTCACGTCCGATACGAACATAGACTGGCAGAGCAACGACAAACAAAAGATGTCACACCTGTTTTTACATCTACAGCTTCTTGTTTGCAGCAAATTTGAGTTGCAGCTGCCTCCAACTCTTGTTGAATTGACTGTAAATTGACTAGAATTCAAGAAAGTCCCACAATTTGAGATGGTTTAAGGGAATTAAATATGCAAAAGTTATTATTTCACCTTTTTTATTGCTTCACTGCAGAAACGTGATCAAAGACTAGATAACCTCATAGTTTTGATCGAGCTTGTTTGTATTCTATCGGTGCAGCTGGTGCTCTGAGCTGACTCAGCACGTCCATCACTACAGCGAGCGTTGTTCAAACCCGACAAACTGCACTTTCAATTAGAGGCATATTTATTTTGCACGTTCCAGAGAAATGTGTGTAAAATGATCTGGTTTTGTTCTACGATATAAAATAGGTCAGTGAACACTCCTCTGGTGTCTTAAAAAAAGTGTCTAAATGAGAAGAAACGTCATCTCTGGAACACTAGTCCTCCTTTAACATAGTGGTGGAGACGTGAAGTCTTCAAAAATCTAAATTTGTGATCTCTCTGTAGCTCTTAGTTTTATTTTTTCATCTACTGTAGAGCACACTTTATTATCTTTTTTTAAATTTATAAATAAATGCAACTTTATGCATATAATATTATTAGAATGAATATTAATAATAATACATTCAAATAATACTAATAACACATTATAATTAATACATTTAATTAATGTAAAAATAACCAGCAACACTTAAAATGAGATCTGGTCCCATGGAAGGAAAAGAATGTGTCCAGAGTGACTTCCAGTTTAAGATCCATTAAACTCCTGAATGACTATAATTAGCAAAAGCAGCATAAAGGTCAAGGGTCAGAGCTGGAGCTCATTTACAATATTCACGACTGATGAAAGATTAGAAATAAGCAGCTGTCGACTTTTTAAGACGACTGAAGTCTCGGAGGCTCCTCCTCGAGTCCGAACATTGAAATCCCAACATGGCCGACTGAAGGGAGGGAATCAGGAGCGGATACGTGACGACACATATCTCACGCTCCGCTATCTTTTCATCTGTTGCTTTCCTGCAATGAGATTCTAATGCCAGCTGATAAATCAAACAGTCTATTGTTTGAAAAAACGAAAAAAGAAAGATGTCTCAAATGTCTTGTGTGCCAATAATGCAGACCAGATGGAGAGGGGGGGGGGCTGCTTTCATGTGTGGAGGGGTCTGGTGGTTCAGTGTACACCCCCCTCTGCTTCCTCCTCTCTTCCACAAATGTTGTATATGGTAATTCAGAGACAGAGAGAGAGAGAGAGACAGAGAGAGAGAGAGAGAAGCGAGTGAGGAGGAAACTCAACGAGGAAGACAAACTCAAACTTATCTAAAGCTCGCTCAAAAGCTGCGTGATGTTCAGTGACATGGTGTTCAGAAGCCTCGATGTACAGCAGCCAATAGGAGCGCTCCCTCTGGCTGATGTCAGCACACCTGTGGTGACATCACAGCTGACGTACAAAATGTCTGAGCAGTCAGGTTGTCTGTGTGGGTCACAGAAAACAGCGTCTGCCTGCATAGTGGGGGGGATTTTCACTTTTGTTTTTGGGAATTAAATGTGTATAAATGAGTGTGTGAGTGATGAGTGAACTAACCCCTCTGTGTGAACCTTCAGCACACAGAGAGGAGTGAAAGAGTGAATGTAAGAGCTGCTGAAGTGGAGATTTATCATCAGAGTCTGAGAACAAACTCATTTAGAGGAAACGTCCTTTAAAGAGACGTTTAGTTCCATTACAGACATTTAGAGACTCTACAGGTGAATACGGTCAACACATAAACTCACAGATAAACAACTAAATGTGTATTTTGGATGTTTTCTTTCCACTAGTCTGAAAGAAAACATGTTGAAGTAAAATAGACCAAAATCTCAAAATTGACCAGAGCATGAAAAGCCTGTAATGTCTGTACGTGTGTAATAAAACATCATGACGTCAGCGTTAACAACCCTGTAAGCATGGATTTGGTGATTTGCAGGTCTGAAGATGTCTAGACGTCTAGGTTGAAGTGGGCTACACTTCAGTTCTGCAGCTCCTGTGTGTGTGTGCGTGCGTGCATGTGCACCTCTGTGTCTGTCCACGGATAATATCTCATCCTGCTGCAGCAAACTGCACTAAAGACTTGCACTTTCTCTAAACACCCTTTATTGTCTGCTCTCATTGACTGCTTGCTGACTCCTCACTCACCACTCTTAACCGGCCCCTGGTCAGTAGGGGCCCGCTGGTGATAACACAGCTGAGTGCATCGCCGAACCCCAAACCCTGCTCTGTGCCCAGAGACACCGTGGGGGGAAAACAGCTAACAGCTAACGGAACTACCAGAACACACACTGCTGACTACATCACCGCCACTCAACTGCTGCTTCACGGGCAGAACGCTTGGTGAGTGACGTGTCTTATATTTATGATTTTGAGCCGCTTGCCTGCATACATCGCCGCTTGTTTTTGAGTTTGAATGAAGTGTGTTTTACGTCATATACCAGAGTTGACCACTGATCACTTTGGCGTATATAGTTAGTAGAGCATGCCGATGCCTGAAGATGTGCAACACACCTGCGTGGTGACAAAAGGTGAAATCTGCCGCTTTATTCCTACTTACTGTTTTAAGACTGTCATGCATGAACAGTGGTTTTTGGTATTTGGAGCCTTTGTGCACATTTCATGAGATAAATGAGAAAGTGACAGAAATAAAGAGAGAGTTCAGGTGAACAAGTGACTCTCCGTCCGTCCGTCCGTCCGTCTGTGCGTCAGATATGAAGATTTGCTCTCTTCAGCTGTTCTTATTCGCTAAGTTCTATCTTTACACCATTATTAAAGGTTACACAGACGATCTGTGCGCTGATATAAAACAGTGTAACAGGCTGTATTGTGCAGCTGCTCCGTCAATAAACAGATGCGGTGACGAACCTGTTTCTTCCAGAGTCCCTGAATCCTTTGGCGAACGGGTTTCGGTCGATCTTTAGTCTGGTGATCTGCAGACAAGAAGAACGTGCAGAGGAGATGTTTGTGATTGTTGCAGCTTAAAATGCACTTAAATATGTCAACATTTCTGTGCTTTTTTTCTATAAATTGTGGTAACACTAAAGGCTGCAAGTCATCCTTTGTTTGTGCTTCTGTATATTCTTTCTCTACACCATCAAGAAGGAAACTTTGCTAATTAGCTCCATGATCAAAATGTTCTTTTAGGAGTTGAAGTGGTTGAATTTGAGTAAGTTTAACGATGGTGAATTAGAGGAAGGAGTACCTGCTCAAGAAAACTTTGTTCCTAGTTCTTAATTTGATTGTATTTACAAAGAAAGCCGCGGTGAAGCATTCTTCTAATTCAACCATTAACCATTTATAAGAGGTCAGAGGGATTGTTGAGATTCTAAGATTTGCACATTTGTGGGGCGATTATTCCATCACTTAACGTGATGGAATAATAATAATAAGGACAGTAAACACACCTGCTGGTTCTGGTAGGCAGTGACGGTGGTGAACACGGTCTCAGGGAAGCTGAAGGTCTTGACTCCCTCCCCGCTCGGCACCGCCTTGTTTTGAGACAGCTCGCTGCTGAAGTCCTTCCTGATGACGTGAACACGAGGCTGATACTTGTGCATCGAGTGGAGGATGATCTGAAGACGTGAGAGGAAAAGAAGGTGAAGTGTTCTGCAATTATCAGCTACGCCGTATATCAAGGTCCTTGTAGTAAACAATAATAAATAGATGTTTTATTTGTACTGTTATGTGTTAATAAGACTATATAAGAGTTAAAGCATTATAAACACGTTATTGTTAGATAATAAGACATTTCTGAGCACTTGTTAAGTTTATAAACTTCTTAAGAACGTTAACAAAAGCCTTATGAGTTTCTCATAATAAAGCATGAGAAATATATTTTATTTAATGAGTTTAACTTATTAAGGCATTGTTAAATGCATGTATTAAGGCAGAAAATACACAAAAATAATCTTTAAAAAACGGTTAATTAGAGCATAATAAAGGATTTATTAACGTTAAGAAGGCATTCTTCTCGCTTTAGATTCTGTAGCTGCAAAAAGCATAATTAACTGTTAATAAATGCATAATGAAATATCTCTTGATCTAATCATGTAGCAAAAAACCTTGGTAAAGTTTTAATGATGATATAATAAATATAAATAAATACGTTTACAACGCTATTATAGACAATTATAACAAACTCATAAGGCTTTTATTACCGTTCTTAAGCAGTCAATAAACTGTTCTTATAACTGATTATAAATGTCTTATAGTACAACAATAAACATGTTTAAAATGCTATTATTAACACTTAGTCTTATTAACACGTCAACAACTAATGAGGGACTTATTACCTATTAATAAAGCTTATTATAAGGACCTTAACATGAAGAGTTACTCAAATATCTTTGTGAGAATAAGCACCAGGTGCTCTCGTTCTTTAATCCCTCTGAAGTTGTCACTGCAGGTAAAAGTCTAAATCCTACATGTCTATGAATCTGTTTTTGCTTGTAATACAAAATTAAATTACCAGAGAAAACATTGCTTTAACGGCACGGTGACAAGCTGCATGAGTAAAAGATGTTAAACGTCTGTGGGATCGAGTTTCAAAGAGGATTGGACGAGTAGTTGTGAAGGATCCGGGGGTTAGGAAGTGATTGTGGTCTTCAGACATTAAGAGGTACAAATCTACATGAGCCTTTATCAACTCTACCAAACTTAAAGTCTCAGCCTGTAATTCCACGCTCTCAAAGTGTAACAACACTGCTCCTCCATCAGAGCCACGTGACATGAAGCGGAAACCGGGTTCACACTGCGACGACGCTCGCCGGAGGGCCGAGGATTATTTCACAGCGGAGCGGCGGCGTCAGACGGTGTCGGCCTCAGCCTCGCCTCTGGGCCTCGGTCTGCTCTTGATTAATCTGAGAGCGAGAAAAACCTTCTCAGAGCCGAGAAGTCCCTCAGCTCTGCTACAAACAGAGGGGGTCATTTCAAACAGGGCTGTGGGGGGGGTCTCAGAAACTCTATTGAATGTTCCAGACCTCAGATCACGCACTCTCCGTATGAACACAGTATGACTGGGCGGCTGCATGGATACACACGATTCATGCTAATAATCTCCCTCAACATGTTTGCCTCCACCTGCCCAGAAGTCACCTGTCAATCAAACTGCGTGGGCGGAGCTGTGGAGTCTTCCTCCTCACACACTCAGTAGATGTTGTGCAAAATTGTGTTTTACCAACAAACAGAAAATGGATGTCGTCAGGCTGAGGTTTTACAAGAAAGGCAAGAAATACTTTCAAATGTTTCCTGTCGCTGCTCTTTACACTGTTGCAGACGTTAGAGGAGAAACAGCGAATAGGTTCATGATGGAGGTTGAATCAGTCATGTTTTAGGAATAGAGATTTCATCACACACACACACACACACACACACACACACACTCAGGGCCCTGCGGAGCCTGAGGTGATGTCGACTCTCTGAACTACAGAAGACTCGGAGGGCGGCCGGAGGACATCAGCTGACCGCTGCTCAAACACAATCAGGCTGAAGAGCTGATGTTTTCATTCAGCGACGCGCTTTTTCAACACTCTTTGAAAATCATCTGGACGTTCACACCCTGAGAGACACGACACGTCCCGTTCGTGTCTCCGGGAAGTCAAATTAAATTATGCTTATAAAACATATTTTACAGATTTCAAACACAGTGAGAGACAGCGATCAAAGCAATGGATGAATACGTCAGTGTTAATGCTTCAAGTGTGAGATGACATCCTGTTACAGTTACAGACTGTATATATGAGCACGTCACTTATTATACAGCCGTCACGTGAGAATATTTCATCTCTGACAGAAAGACAGACGAATGTTCAAAGCAGATTTTGTAGAAAAAGTTTAGAACGTTCTCACACAAACATCGTTGGTGCATCAAGAACTCAGAGGGTCATTAAGAACAAAGAGACTATGAAACAGAAAGAAGAAAGTTTCTGGTTTTTTATTTGGGTTTATCCGCACAGACCGGCGGCAAAGGACGGACGGGAACGAGGCGGCGGCGAGCGGAGAGTGACGGCGATGAGGCGGATCTGATGAAGCCGACGAGCCACGAAGACTTTGACAGCACGAAGCCGTCTGTGTTCACGACATCGAGCGGATTGTTTCTCAGTCGACGGTTGAAACAGAACACAAATGTTGCTTTTTGACTTTTCTCTATGAATCCAGTGGCATGTTGGCAATATAATCCATACAAATACATGACAAGAAATATCATGAACTTCATTTACGTTTTTATTCAAGTGCAGAATTATTATCAGTATCTTAACTTTATGCATCTGGACTAATCAATATGGGGAGGAAAGACATTATTTTAAAAAGTTTACATTTAGCTTTATTGTGGTTTTATCTTCAATGATATTACTGATACTGATTAATAATATTAAAACTAAGTTTTAATCATGAAATACATATTTGACCATCAACAATGTATCATATTCTATAAACTGTTTTAATATATTTTTCTTCCACAAAATGTTTTCTTTCAGACTCGTAGAAATAAAACATCCAAAATACACATTTAGATGTTTATTTTACTACTTATTTTAATATTTGATTTCTCCCTAAATTCACCAAAAGTTACCATTAGACAATGCCTCATTTGCATAATTAAACATAACATTTCAGAAAACTTGTAACACAAAAAAGACTGGGGAAGTTAAATGTATTAGCTAGTTTTGTCACCCTATAAGTAGAGTTTAACTCACGTTCTCCGATTTAAACTGAAGGAGAAAGCAAAGTTAATAAGCAGCGCATCTCTTTTTTATTGAATCACAGAGGTTTGTCGTTGCTCAGATGCAGCTTGAGGCCCAGTCCATCGGTCTGAATGCGTCTCAGTTATGATGAATATTGCTTTTCTCCTCTCAGACTCTGCTTCTGTTGACGTCAGATGATTCACGACAACATGTCTGCTTCTGAGGAGGCCACAAGTCGAGGAGGGGGGGCGAGCTTTCTTCTCCCCACACAGGAAGCGCAGAAATTAATTTCCTTTTTTTCGCCACCGAAACCTCCTCCAGGAAAACAAGGAGCCCTTGAAAGCGATCGGCACCGTGCACGTGAATCCTAACGATCCACATGTTAATGTGCTCGTCACCACTGAGATGATAGTCTGAGGGAACCTGCATGGAAACATCAGCGCGCCGCTTCTCTAATCATCTGGGAGGAGATTGATTTGAAGCAGCTCATCATGTTTCTTTTCAATATCTGCAGATATCAAAGCCTCTGAAACAGCTTCGACAGTCATGACAGGAGGCATCGGGCCACCGTGGAGAAAGGAAAAGAGCTGCTGGGTTTGCGATCAACTCAATCTGCTTTAACTGAATGAACGCGACGCTCTGAGGAGCTTTATACATTTCCCAGAGAAGATCATATAAAGGGGAGGTTTGATTTATGAGGTTCAATTCCACTTTTCAGATTATTTTATGGTTTTTAAATTACATACTTTGCACAAGTTAAGTGTAATATCTCGTGATGGCTATTTGAGACGATATATTTAATGACTCTTAAGTGCAGCACAATGTGTTCTCAGCATTACGTCATAGTTTGACTCCAGTATAGTTGGAGAATGTAAGTTATTGTCTTTAAAGCTTCATTAGTCCTCTTCTGGCCACTAGGGGGCAGAAGAACATCCGAAGAAGCAGCAGAAGATAGGCAGACAGCCACCAGAGAGAAAGTGTGACACAACACGTCACTCCCAACTCGTCAGATAGCGACGTTTGGTACTACGTTCTACGTTCTACGTTCCCCTCTAGCGTCAGTTTTAAACTCAGTTACGTGCACAGCGTCTTCTCAAAGGCACGTACACTGTGTAACTGTTTACCAGCGGGAACTCAGACTCACTCAGATCCTATTTTTTCACATTTTCGTGTTGTTTATTCATGTTACGTAAAGGCCTCTACGTAACTAAACTACAGTAAACTTGACTTGTCTTCACACGGGACATGAACAGCGGTCTCCTGTGTGAAAGTTGAAGAGTTAAAGGATCCTTATTTGACGTGTTGGGAAAGAGAACCGGTCCATCCAACATGAAGCACCTTTAGTGTCCATCTTTCTGACCGCGTATAAAATTCAAGTCCAATCTACACTTTTCTCTTTCACTCTGATGACCTCCACCAACTCCTGACAATAATGACTCGGTCTTTAGCTTTCCAACGCTAACGTTAGCCACTCAGTACTCTTTGTAGGAGCCTGTGGGCTCGAGACGGTTTCCTGAACGTGTTGCTGCACACATGACCGTTTTTTATTTGTTATTTTTATAAAATAGTTAGTAAGAAAAGTATTTTCTTAGCTTTATTGCCGGTTTAAACATAAGCGACCAAGCAAAATTAATAATCAAAAGCTAATGCACTTTTCTTCCACCTTATATTGCCCCGTTTTCCCATGAAAGCTATTTCTAACTCCAGAACAGCAATAAGCGCCAATAAGGGACTCACGTTAGCTCGCTGCCCACTCGCCGATTACACGCGAGGACGGCAGTAAATCCAGCAAATTGTGGTCTTAACTTGATGCATTAGAGTTAAATATTTCACCTATGAAACCCACATGACACATCCAGAGCAGCCAAGAACCAATAAGAGACTTACTTTAGCTCGCCACCTCTGTTACTGACTGGCTGCAGGCGAGGCAGTAAATCAGGCAGATTGTGGTCGGACTTAACGTTTAGCTGGGCGGTGTGGCTGCTGGAGCGTCCTACAAATCAAATCCAATCATTAATGCCTTTAACGAAACTGTTTCGTTACAAAAGCGCTCCACAGAGCCACGAAGGAAATGAATATTACGTATGAAGAACCAAGGGCACGGGTTCAAATCCCAGACCTCTAATATTGCTCCACGCTAATCCTCCAACCGCACAATATTCAGTCAGCGTGGACCATCTTCAAAAAGAAAGTGTGGGAGAGCAGACTGTCAAAGTATCGCAGGGAAATCAGTCTCTTGGCTCCGTGACTCTGTGACTCATGAAAGCATGAAGAACCGTGTCAACTTTCCTTTCAAGCAAACGCATCAAGAACATTTCAGCTCCCAGAAGAAAAAAGGAAAAGCTGCCTCGCTGCTCCAGCAGTGGATTCATTCCTGCAGCAGCGAGGAGGGAAGTTTAAAATGAAGCTAGTAAATCACAGCTCCAACATTTAGACCCAAAGCGTTTTGGCTGAAATAGCTATCATCTGTCACAGGTTCCAATGCGTCGTCAATTTAAAAATACGGATCTGATTCGTCTTTCTGATGCAACCGGATTTATTTTTTTTAAATGAGTTAAATTTAAGTGATTTGTGAGGCGTATAAAACCCCCACAACTCCCCATTAAAGGGAAGGAAAAATCAAACTGCATTTGAACCATTCTCTTTGTCACATGTTGCATTTGGGTCACGTGGGAAATATCAGAATTAAAAGTGCACAAGCGAGCAACACGTGCAGAGGAAAAGTCAGCTCTGAAGATGAAATAAACCCAAAAAGAAAGTTATCTTATTGCTGTTTATGTGCAAAACAAACAAAAGAAATGTGCAACTCAATATCGTTCCCAGCGTGGGAAGAATTAGCATATCTCTCATTAATATGGAGGTCTTTAAAGATGCTCTAAATATTTAAATTGAGTCATATACAAACACAAAGATGCCGTAACAAATGGTCAGTAAAAACATCCAGCGGTGCAGATAAGGAGACGAGGTCCCTTACGTGTCCCTGGTCGTCCAGCTCGTTGTTGGTGAGTTTGAGCTTGTCGAAGCTGACCACCTGCCTCATCCAGGTGTCCCCCGAGGCCAGAGAGTCCGGGTGGATGTAGGCCCGCGGAGGCACCGGGGAGTCGGCGTTTCCCGCCACCATCCACTTGGAGCTGTGGTACACGTACCTGGAAGACAAGAAGGGAGGGGAAACTTAACATAATGCGTACCTGGAAGACCAGAAAGGTGGGACTTTAAAGCACCAACGAAGAAGAATTCAGAAAGAGAAAAGAAACTCTAGACTTTTATTTTAAAGACCACCCTCAACAGAAGAAGTAGATGTTCAGTATTTGTAACCTGCAGATTAAATGATTAATTGTGCTTTTTATTGTGTCAAAATCCAGATATTTATTTTCCTGCACATTTGGTCGTTTACAATTTTACTATATTAACTATATTAATGAAGGGTAGATGAAACATAAATTAATGATTACAATATTACACATTTAACTTAAAATGTGAATGCAAACGTCCTCCTCCAACAACGTTATTGGATATATACTCTGACAATGTTTTTATTGGGCAGAAGATCAGAACAATCTGCAGGATTAATAACCTCCTCGTCACTTCCCTGTTCCTGAGACTCATCGGAGTCTCTCGAGGTCGCTTCAGGGTTCAACGGTTTATTCTAGAGGCTGTTTGGTTTTTCAAAACAAGCTCCAAACACTCGGCCACGTTGCCACAACACGGGCTTTAAGGACCCATGTGTTGTTTCTTCATTGTGCTTGAAATTTCTACAAAGAGCAACATAAAGTATTCCATATGCAGTCACACACTCCGCCGCATAGTTTCAATTAAGCAAAGCAATAACATTTTGATGATGTTGTGTGTGAGTTTGGGGCGTCGACTCGCGGCGTCCCACCCGTTAAACAGCAGGGAGAGAGAAGAAAGACGTGGACTTTTCACTAAAAACAAGTCCACAGACCAGCAGCCAACACTGGAGGCATTGTTTGAAAAGACAAAGACAAAGGGAACAGAAAGGAAAGGAGGGCAGAGGAATATAAGGAAAGGAAGTAGCAAAGAAATGCATGGACAGAAAAAAGGGCAGCGAGATAAAGAAAGTCATCAAGAGAGGACGGATAAAAGAGAAGGTAGAGGAAGAGGACAGGAGGAGCGGGAGAGCGAGGTTGAGAATAAGTGGAGGCGAGCGAGTGTGAAGCACAGCTGTTTGCCTTTAGTTCTGGCCCGGTGCTCAGTCCAGAGTGTTTTATCTGCAGCGTCTCTGCCAAACTCATCACTCACTCCTGAAACATCGACAAAACTCTCATTTGATCCTTTTGTTACTGCCTCGAAGGGGCTGCACCACCCCGTCTCACACACACACACACACACACACACACACACACACGTATATTATTCAAACACAAACAAAACACACTCAGCCACAAAAACACACAGCTCACATATTCACATATTTAAGCGGCGTAACGCGCCCTCTGGCTGCGTATATTGGAGGTAAAGTTAGCTCAATGTGACTTTGAACATTTAGTTTGACTGAAACGTCTAGGAAGTGTTTCAAGTCTTCTTCAATACAGCATGATGTTCATTTAGTACATTATGGTCCATTTAGAGTCACACAGACCATAAAGCAGGGGATGCTTTAGGGCGGGGCTACACGGTGATTGACAGGTCTCTACCAGAGACGTATACGGCGTCTCTACGTCACTCCTCAGTCCAGATATGCTCACTTCTGTTTATCTGTTGCCAAAAAACAACAACATTGTAACGGCCGTATTCCAGGATTGTGTCGGCGAAATCGCCGAACTCGAGGCTTCAAAACGGCCGTTCACAAACCGATGATGTCATGATGACTACGTCCTCTTCTGACATAAAGTCTTTGGTCGGTCTGGACTCGAGTCACTGACTCAGACTCAATTTGGCAAAATCAAAGAAAGACTTACACCAAAGACTTGTGTCTTTACTGGGGTCTGAGCCGTCTTCCACCTCTTCTACTCGTTTAAAGGGACGGTGTTTAGGAAAAAACACAACTAATGAAAACATAGTTATGAATATTAAATTACATTTACCAAAAAGATGCCCTGACATCCTACACACTGGCCCTTTAAGGAATATTAAAATGATTAAACATTTTAGTGTTAAATATGTTTTCTACATTACACATAAAGGTGTAAAATAGGCTGTTTTATCAGTTAATAGGTGATGGCAATGAACCTTTAACTAGCTGCTTGTTTTTTACTTTATCTAACACCAACACACACCTCCACACACAGCTCTGACTTTTGACCTTAACACACACACACACACACACACACACACACACACACACACACACACGCGTACACACAAATGGTGCCAGGCGTTTGTGTAATTTCCTGTTTGGAGCTCTGTTTAGGGTTTCGCTCGGCGTAGCAGGGAAAGTGTTAAGAACGAGGAAACTTTAGCCCCAAACAGGACTGGAAATCTGATCCCCCCCCCCCCCCCCGCTTTCATCTTTCATAAATCTGCCATCTGGCACCCGACACGATCAATAAAGACTGGACTTTATGTGACACTCTTACTGGACAGATGGAGGGGGGGGGGGGGGGGGGGGTCCTTTCCCTTCTCAGCCAACACCAAAACCACACAGCTGACAAAACCACAAACTGTGATACACTCCATTCTCTCCCACATACACACAGAATTACACCCACTGGGACAAACACACACTCAACAATGCACTCTCAGCTCATCACACATACATACTAACACGGGCCGGCATGCACATAAACACACACAC